GAATATAGATAAGTTAAATAACTCTCCTAACACCTAATAACTAAGTATAACCTCACTTTGTCACATGCCAGCTTTGAATTTCATTTATTTCTGCATAATTTATTTTCATATCTATAGTTCAGAAAAAAAAGTACGGAGGAAAACATTTAAAATTCATACTCAGGACCCTGGTGCAAGATATGTACTGAATAAATGGGAACCAATAATGTGGTAATGAAGGAGTATTTAGAGGCTGAGTTTCCTGATCCTCTCTTCATACTGTCTTTCTGCTTTCAGTTTCCCAAACAAAATCTTTCTTCTTTGTCTTTATCCACAGCACAATGAGAATATTGGAATATGAGTTAATCACACTGATACATTCACAGTGGACAACAGCTTCAAACGATGCCTAGCTAGGTCTATACATACTGCAAACCACAAAGTAAAGCTGTAAGGAGGGCAGATTTGTAACAACATGAATGGACCTTAAGAGTATTATGCTAAGAGAAATAAGTCAGACAGAGAAAGACAATCACCATATGACTTCTCTCATATGTGCAATATAAACAAACAAACAAACACATAGATAAGGAAAACAGATTGGTTTTTACCAGAGGGGAAGGGGGTAGGGACAGGGTAAAAGGGGTAAAAGGACACATATGTGTGGTAACAGACGGAAACTAGACTTTGTGGTGAACACGATGCTACCTGTACAGAAGTCAAAATATACTGATGTACACCTGAAATTTATATAATATTATAAACCAATGCGACCTCAATAAATTAATTAAAAAAAAGAATAAAGGCTGCATAGTGGGATTCAAGAACCAAGAGGTAGAAATGGAGAGTATGGATTTGGGGACAGAAGTGGAGTGCAGGGAAAGTATCTAAACTTCCATCACATGCAGCCTCTCCTCCTTCAAATATTTGTACTCTAATCACTTTAGGATTTTGAATCTATGAATGAGCTTCCTACAGATCTCTGGGAGAAAATAGCTGAAGTCCCAACTTACCTCCCTAGGGCAGCTCTGGTGGATGGGAGGAGAGAGGAAGGTGAAGCGTCTAGTAGGGAGAAACACTGAACACTCTACACACTCTGCACACAACTTCCCTGCCCGGCTTCACCCCGTTCCTGCACTGAGCTCCATAAAGCTGCCTCTTAAGGGTCCCCTGGGCCCAGTAAGTCCTAGGGATCAGAAAGGTGGCTGGGGCAGGTGATGTGCAAAAAATCTTGAGTGCTCCTTTGTGCCCTGGAATTTCTCAGAATACCACATCTTTGTTTGAGGTTCAGATTTATTTTCCTTACCTCTTCTACAATTAGTCAAAGATTTGTTCACTAAATTGCTGACTCTCAGATTTTTGTGTTAAAATCCACAATAGATTTTGTTTTCACAAAGTCATGTCAAATATAGAAAAAGCCGCTAAGCGCTCTATCAGTGCTAAGCTGTTTAATATTTACAGAAGAAGTTGTCTCTGCCAGAGACATTGGGCTTGACTGTTGAGATGAATGATTAAAGTTGACTCCCAGCCATTGTTGCTTATAGTCTGTCATTTGTCGTCAAAATACAGATTGTCACCCAGGAAGATTATTCCTCCCAGTTTGTAATATGGGATATTTGCCTTAAATACACAGCCTGTGGTTCTCAGCCTTCATTCTGTCCTGACACTTCACATGAACATTGACCACATTTGCAGCAGTAACACTCCTCCACCACACTGCAGCCATTCACAACCTGGTGTAGCTTTGTAAGGGGGTATTTAAAAGGAACATGTAGTTAGTGAACATATCTGAGGAGACTTTGACATACCCCTTTTATCTCTCTTCAGGTAGGTTTCTCTGACAAACTCTGCTAACTAAATTCCTTAAACACTGAGCCAGGAACAGTGTAGGTTTCACAAAATATTGTTGAATGAATAAATTAATAATGAGCTGTTACATTTTTATAAGCAAAAAAACAAAAAGCAAATCTTATAAGAAAAATAATTTACCACTAGAATTATATCCACTCCCCTAAAAAGACCCCACATTTTTTAGACCTGAGGTTGAGTAGAGGATAGTGACTAATTATCTCTGCTAGGAGGAATAGAGCTTGAGAAACACTTTAGGGAGAAATTCTCCTGAGTCCACACTACATCAGCACAGTGAGACAGTGTGTCCAGTTGAGAACGGAGTGTTGGATATTCTCCTGATGAGAAAATGCCCTTGCTGGAGATAACCCTAACTCGCAGGATAGACTTTGTAAAACAGTTTCTGGGTGAAGAATACTTCCCATCTAAATGAATTGTAATGCAGTAGCAAAGTAGTCTTGTCCTATCAGAGTTGATCAAGTCTGGAGATGGCTTCATGGAG